TTTTTTTTTTTCTCACAACTTAATCAAACACCATTAACATTGATACTTTGATAGCAGTCCACATAATAATAGTACAAAAGAAAACAACATAATCAACAACATAATCTTCTAACTAACCAAACTAAACATGAAAAAATAAAATAAAAATAAAGCATATGAAAATTAAAAGCAAAAAAGAGGTTTGACACACAACCCAAGCATTTTTTCATAATAGCTTAGCATATTTAGCTCAAAATTTGGAATTTGCTGGTCAAGCAGCCTCCGTTGACTGAGCAAGCAGTGGCTGGGTGATGGAGGGCTTGATGTGGGGGGTTGTCCTGCTGGTGCCATGGTCCGCGGTGGACTGGATCGGGGCCCACTGCGCGAACTTCCTCTCCTCGTTCTTCCCCCACAGCACAAAGTACAACCCGCTTATTATGAGCACCGCACCAATTATCCTGTGCGTCGCAGCCCCACAAAAATATAGAAAAAAAATCCGTCATCGTGTGGATTGAATCATTGAACACGACAAATAAATAAGTACATTTACCAGAAATGTGCATTTGGGGTCCTACACAAATTATGTTCAGCAAAATAATAACAATAATAATAATAATATTTTGGAGATGGTGGGTTTACGAAAATACCCTCCGAGGTAGAACTCTTCACCGAGGATGACGGACGTCATAACGGCGACAACGAGGGTCTGCACTGGCTGGTAGACGGCAACGAAGACGGGGCCACCTCTGTCAATGCACCATATCTGTACAGCGAAGGCAATCCCTGACGCAACTACTCCCTGAAACCAAACAAAACCACAAAAATATTCATTATTATTATTTACACATTTAATTCAAGATAATTAAATAACACGTCTTTAATGCGGAAATGACCATTCCACCCCTGCACTCATGCAAAGTTGAACAAAAGAAAGACTCACGGCGTAGAAGACGCTAAAGAGCTCGGCTCCCGAGTGGACGAGCCACGCCTGAGAGTCGCGCTCGACAAAAGCGGCGATGACGAGGAACTGAATGACCCCAAAGAAGCACTGGTAGGAGGTGAAGGAGAGTCGAGCCGGGTACTTTTTGAGGACGGGTGCTTGGAGCACGAGCCAGCCGGACCACGACAGGCAGTGGCCAATCAGGAATATGCAGCCTAATGTCCAGCTCTTGCCGCTGCTGGCTTCGGCCCCCAAACCCTGCAGCCGAGCTGGCATCTGTAGGGCCGCGGCTAGCTGGAGCCGTGGGGCAGGGCTGTAGATGGTGGGGCCCTTGTAGAGCGTGATAACCGACGCGCCTGCCACGCACAGGAGTGTGCCTGCAACCTTCGAGATTCCGTCCTTTCTGTCTAGTCTCACTTTCTCGATTCTGTTAGGCAAACATTTATTTATTTATTTATTTATTTATTTATTTATTTTTTGTTTAGGCGAAAATATGGAAATAATGTCACGCGCTAGTGTCTGAAAAACAAAATAAATATAATGTAAATAGTTATTTATTTATTTATTTATTTATTTTGGGTGGCTTCTTGCCTTAGTATAACGGCCATGAGGAACGTGATGGCAGGCACCGAATTTTGAATCGCGGAAGCAAAAGTTGGTGACGTGTGGTCGAGTCCCAACAAGTAGAATCCTTGATTTGCAGTTATCCTGCAATTTTTATTTTATTTTATTTTTTATTTCATATTTTCTCGTAAATGTATCGGAAAATGCTACAGTCCCGTTACAGAACCATTCCGTCGGAGTTTATAACCGTTAGATTCCGTGACGGGACCGTAGCATGTGAAACAATAATTCATACCCAACAATTGCCAAAAGGAAGAAATGGATGGCAAGGCTCCAACTTATAGGCGGCCTCTCTTTCCTGGCAATTAATATTAAGGCTAAATTAAATATTAATTACTAGGAAATGTTAAAAAAAAATGAAAATAAAATAAAATAAAAAAAACGTACTTTTCAAGAAAATATGCAAAGGGCAAGAGCAAAAGAAAGGCCAAAATGTTCCTATAAACAGGGAACACGATTTTGCTGATGCCCATATTAAGGGCGGCCCTGGAGACGACGTGGAAACCAGCGTAGCCGAACTGCAGGGCCAGCATGGCAATGTGCAGCTGGAATTTCTCCGGGATGAAGCATATTCTCCGGCCAACGGCGGAGCCACCGCCTACATCCGCCATCGGAGAACAAAAAAAATTTAATAACTAACTAAGGAAGTGTGTGATGGACTAATTAATTATTAATAATAGAACTGTGTGTGTGTGTGTGTGTGTGAGCTTGAGAAGTAGAGCGCCTAGGTGTCGCATAAATATAGTCGGGAGGGATAGAAAATGTGGACCCGACATGGAAGACGTTTGTCGCAAAGCGTGATTTATTTTGGAGTTTGTTTATTTATTAATATTATTCTAAATTATTTAGAAATTGAATAAATCTAAAACAATTGCATTTAAAATTATATGGATTTCTACTAGAACTAGTATGTATATAATATTTAATGTTATCAAGACAGTGCCAAAAAAACTCTTACATTCCAACGGAAATTTTCCGTTGGAATTTTTTATATTTCCGTTGGAATAGCTATTCCAACGGATATTCCTACGTTTAAAAATCCGTTGGAAAAACGGCCGTTGGAATAGCAAATATCCAACGAAAAATCCTATGGAAATAAATTCATACAACTATTCCAACGGAAAAAATCCGTTGGAATTCCTCAACTATCCAACACTTATTCCAACATAAAATTAAGTTTGTTGAAATATTTATTGGAATTTTCAACGAAAATTTTTGCCGCTAGAATTTTTCGTTGGAATTATAGTATTTTTTTGTAGTGTAATATTTAGTCACGATATCTCAAAACTACAAAATTATATTATTTATTACAGTTAATGGAATAAGTATAGTGATTCGTATGTAAATTAAGCATTTGTATTTATATTATTCATTTTTACTAATTATATAAATTTTAAATTAATTAACTGGTGATTATTATTATTATTATTATTATTATTATTATTATTATTATTATTATTTATAACCATCATTATTATTATGTGTTGAAAATATGCTGATATCATGTTTAAGTGAAAAATATTACGCAAAAGTCAAGGGTCAAATAATTTTTTTTAGGATTGAAGATGATGATGAATGTCACGGCGCATTAAGAATAAAGAAAATAAAAAATATATAATTATTATGTATGTAACCGAAAAATATAATAAGAAAACAAAATTAATTTTATTAAAAACCTTCTCTTGCAAATGTTAAAATGTACACATGTGGGTTTTTGAAAACCTTCTCTTCCAAATGTTGAATGCATGGAGCCACCCTAACGTGCCATGCATTATTCTCGGTGTTTTAAAATGTTTACTAATATTAGTTAATCTTGTTTTGAAGATATCAATGTTAATGGTTAAATTTAAAGTGTTTCATTAGTAAACTTTTTTGTGATTCTCAAGATAAATCCAACACGTCTTTTAATCCACTATTTGTTATTCTTAAAGAAAAATAACTAACTGGTCTCAGTTATAATAATTGAAAGAAGAACTTGGACATAGTCGTGACTGCAGAGGTGTAAAAAATTGTACTCTTCGATACTTGCCCGGATGTGCCTAGTAAAGGGGCCACTGAGATGAGAATGAGAAGTATGCGAAGTGGAAGAAGGCTGATGAGATGACCTGCTGCTACATCTTGCTTTTATGTCAAATGTACTTCAACATCAACATCATACCATGTGTTCCACTTATGACATGCTTCTCAATCTCAAGAAACTCTTTGACCACCACTCGCGAGTGGCCAGGCAGGAGGCCATGAGGATTTTGATGAGCATAAGCTTGGCGGAGGGTAATCCCGTAAGAAATCATGTCCATGCACTGATAAGGCAACTTAATGAGCTGGAGATCCTTGGAGCTGAAATCGATGGGAAAGCCTAGGTCGATATCGTGCTCTAGTATCTGCCCAAGAACTTTGAGAAGTTTTGCTTGAACTTCAATATGAACAAGATGTCGTTGTCGCTCGCAGAACTTCTCAAAGAGCTACAGGCTTCAGAAGGGCTCTTTCGTCATTTTGCTTAGGAGCTAGTAATCGAGTGGGTCGGTACCTCAACCTCTCAGTGTAAAAAAGGCCCAAGAGAAAGAGAAGGCTTGCTAAGAGAGTAAGCTGCATCCAGTGCGCACGAATGCTCTTGTTGTAGGCGCACAGGGAGGTCCGAAGAAGCCTGAACGTCGAAGCCACCGGTGCAAGAAGCCAGGGCACTAGAAAGTAGATTGTAATCAAGAAGGTCAATGGAGGTAAATTCTATTCTCTAATTGTAAAAACATGTTTAGCGGTGTTATCTACCATGTCCTATTATGTAGATACGGGAGTCAGTGATCATGTCTGCAATTCATTGTAGGGGTTCAAGGAAACCATACGCCTTAGAGAAGAATGGGTTATCATCTACATAGGCAACACCCCAAAAGCGACAACCATGGTAGTGTGAGACGTTAATTTATGTTTTGATAGGAATATGATTTTTGTTTTAAGACATTGTCTTTATGTTCTGATGTTTAGTAGGAATTTAATTTCAATTTCTAAACTTATTATGTGTTTATTTTACATTTCATTTGATGAAAAGCTTATTTTTCAGTATGAAAAGCATTTTATCTGTTCTGGTTCATTAGTAGAACATTTATATGTTCTTAAATGAAACGTTCCTACACTGCAACAATCTAAACTGAATAGCAAATGACTAAATCAAATAAGAGAAAAGAACCTTAAAAAATGAATCAAGTTTATCTCTGCACCTTAGGTCTGGAAAAACTAGCCTTAGCAGGATTCAAAGGTTGGCCATTGGACAACCCGATCCTTGGAGGTAGATGACTACCCGACCTGCGAGTCCTACTGCTAAATGGTCGTTCACGACCATGGGTTGTAGGCGCAAAAGTGTTGTGGAACTGATTCATTCCGATTAAAGGGAGGCTTTGAGTACTTCATTACTCTCATTGATGATTACTCGAGGTGCGTATACGTTTACTTGATGTGCTTCTGAATTCATTGACAAATTCAAGGAGTATCAAGAAATTGTCGAAAAGCGTCACTGTATAAGTATCAAGTCGCTACAATCAGATCGGGGTGACGAATACCTCTTAGAAGAGTTTAGGGCTTATTTA